TGTAAATGGTGATGTACAACAAGCATTTTCCTCTAATTTATCCTCAATTGGTGTCCCACATATCCATCTTAACATTCTCATATTCACTACTTTTATTTGTTATGAATATTGCCTCTGATGGCCTAATAGTCTGTAGCTGGTTTAAGATTTTTTATGTAGAAACTACCTTTCAGCTTTATACGTATTTTCCTATCACATAGAATTCTCGTAGTAAATCACTATCTTATTATGTACTTTTCAATCATGTGCATAACTTCCGCCTCAGGTCCTCATTTCTTATGAGCAGGGAATCCTGAATACCTAAAATAATTACTTTTGAACAATGTGATACTCTATATTGACTCTACTATACTTATTTGTATTATAACTAAAAGAACATTCCATATATTTTGTCCTTGTTATACTCGACCTGAAACCTTTAAATTCTAATGTGCTTCTCCAAAGTTCTAACATATGATTTATTTCCCTTAATCCTTTCAGATATGTCTTGTATGTTGATCCATGATTATAACAAAAAATAAGGATTCATGCTATAGCCTTGATGCAAATAGAAATTTTTCTAAACCTATTGCAACCACATGTCACACTCATGACTGATCCATTGGACCATCACTCATGTCGATATATCTAATTAAAATTGCTTTTATTCTATATCATCATAATAGCCTTATAGGACTCCATTATAGGTTTTTCCCCTATCAAATAAAATTTTTTGCCAGTATTTATTTTGTGTATGTACTCTTTTCACTAATCTTGAATTAAGTAAATGAATTTTCTCTCCCACAAAGCTATCAACAGGATTACTCATCATCTTCTCAAGACAATAAATGATTCTTGGTGTTTTAACTATTTTACCATTTGATCCATTTTTTTATGAAGTTTTTCATATTTAATAGCTTTCAGTGCTTTAGTGTTTCCGAGTTTTGTACTTTTGGAACAAGTCCCCTTGTATTAAAAACAATATGAAGCAATAACTTTTTCAGCCTTTCCCTCCAATCTCTGTTTTACATTTACATTTGCAATTGCAAGACTGTGTTTTTCATTTGTTACTGCCTGGAAATCCATTGTCACCCCTTTGGTTTTCGACTATATGAATTTGAACATGTTTAGAACTTATATTCTTTTTCTTAGTAACCATTTCAAGTACCACCTCTATTTTATAGTTAGGCTCTCTCTAGAAATTATCTGAAGCCCTTTCCACCTTCCTAGTAAGAAAGAAATCTAGAGCACAATTCTTTCCATTTCAAAAGTTACTAGGTGAGGTTCTCCTTTTGAATCACAAAGTCCAAAATATTATTCTGTTTTTTCATTCCAGTTTGCCCATTTCTACTTTTTATGTTGTTCATATGCTGAAGTTCATAACCTCTTGCCCCCTAATTCTTTCACTTCTCATCTAGGAAATTTTACACTCCTGCTAAAGTTCTGTGTATTGAGTACCATGTCATAACAAGAATAAAGTTTTTGAGCTTTATGCCATGTCCAAACTTTAGGCTGATTCTGAATGGTTCTGTCATCTGTGTAACTGTGTAAGCATTTGGCCAGAACCTGGAATTTCTTTTGGGTCCATATCCTAATCTTTTAGTAGAAGCAGTATGGTGATGATCTTGCTTTTGTTCATGGTGTCTGCATTTCATTGTGAACATGGAGTTTGTTTGACCAGGGATCATTTTCATTAGGAACCTCGCAAGTGCAAACGGTGAATTTATTGGGCTAGAAGTACCTGCACCTTATTGAATGATGGGCATCAATGCTGATAATTAGGGAACATGATACTTTTAGTTATCTATAAACAGGGATCTATAATTTGCCTAACACTGCTACACTAACAAACTAGTGTGAGGTGATTCTGTTGGTAGGGAGATAGGTATTTTCTCTTTGAAAAATTCCTACATGGATAAGTTAAAAATTAGTGGCACCACTCAGGACACAATGCAAAAGCTGTGAAGTTTGGTGCCAGGATACATTCTTGTTTTCAGATTTAGGTCTGTGGCTTTGAGCTGCACCAAAATTTCTCTGATCCTTGTGGAACATAAACATAAAAAGAAACATGGAAAAGAGAAAAACAAGAGATAGAACTCATTTAAGTTTTACATGGTAATGTTGAAATGTCTCGAGAGTCTTTTCGACATAGGAAGCAATCAAACAGTGATAAGAGCAAGGGAAAGGGGAGAGAAGAAGAGAAAGGAGGGAAAAAGAGAAGGGGAGAGATAGAAAGGGGAGATGAATTAGACAGACAGACGTAGAATTTAACAGAGAGAAGTATATTTATTTCATTCTCAAAAGTTATATCTATTACAATGCACGAGCCCCCTTTTTATAGAGTTCCAAAAAACCTATTGTATATAGGAAACATCTACTCAAATCCTAGAGAATCTATTAAATGAGCATAATAAAATCCTAGGTAAATAAACCCCTAATAACTTTTCCCAAATAAGAATCTAAACATGGAAAATAATCGTATAATAATCTAATAGGATTTCCATCACTTTCTTTTCTTGTATGCAGGTATATTAGGATTTATTCCTGTCTTTTCCTTGCCTTGCCTTGCCTTGCCTTTCCATTCTTTTCTTATTTTGAATTCATTTTTCAGATATATTGGATTTGTTTTATTTATGTAGATACATTCTCCAAAACTTCGTCTGGTACTGATGCCCCGGAGCAAGGTGGTTGGTTTCGAACTT